TAGCACCTAGGGGCCATCCCCCTCCCCTCCATCAGTACACCACTGTACCTTACACAAACTTGCAGAAGGCTCACCTGTGCTGGTCAGCCATAACCATTGGCATTAAGGTGTAGACAGCAGTTTCGTTATCTGTGTAGAAATTAAAATGAGCTAGTCACTATAAAAACTTCTTCATGCATTAGGTTTATCCATCAGTAAGTACTCGATTTTTAACGTTTCTATGCTGGGAAAAAAACCACACAAATTGTCTAATTCAGGGATGTCAAACACTTGTGCCCCAAGCTGGAACTGGGCCACAGAGGTCCTTTAGGGGTAGATTCAGGCCAGGGCCACAGCAGGAGCAGCTCTGGCTCCCTCTACATACCGAATACTGGAGCTAAAGCTGCTGTGGCTGCCGCATGCATCGTTGTGCCATGGCACCTCTAGCTCCTGCACAGGACACACAGCAATAGCAGCAGTGGCTCCAGCATGGAGTGGCAACAGACCAGCAACCAAAGACATGGGACTGCAGCACTGGCAAAGGGTGAAGCAGTTAGAAGGTGACCAGGGCTGTAACAGCCCTTCCTTGCCCTCCTCCTGCCAATCACCATGTACCTGGGAGTCCAAGGATCCCAGATTCTATACCAGGCCACAACCCCAATTTCTGGTTTCCCAGTAGTCTGCCAAGCCAAAAATAGTGACGCCACAGCCTGGATATGGCCTGTATACTTGATACTCCTGCTCTTATCTAAGAGTTTAAATTAAAATTCAAGGGGGAAGTTACTACTGTTAATGTGGAAGATATGTTTAAAAGGAATACAGTGTAGCAATTGGGGGCTAATAGAAATAATGAATTTAAACTAGAATGGTGCAAAGGAGAGCCGTTTAAAAATCAGTGGAATAGAGAAGCAATCTTATGACCAAGAGTTCACCTGGGAACTGGCTGAGGCCGCATGCTCCAGGACCATGGTTGTCATGGGTGACTTCAATTACTCAGAAATCTCGTGGGAGGATCACTCAGCAAAATCCAAGAGGTCACAAAGCTTCCTCTTGTGTGTGGTTGACCTCTACCTGACTCAAGAAGTCTATGGGCCAACAAGAAGTAAAGCACTGCTACCAGAGATGACCTAATCAGCGACCTAGTGATCATTGGGAAGCTGGGTGACAGCAACCACAAGCTGATCTCCTTCACCATCCGCCATAAAGCTGGCAAGTCAGTCAGCAACACGCAAGTCCTTGACTTCAGAAAAGCCGACTTTGACAAGCTCTGGAGGCTGGTCAGTGAGGCCCTAAGGGACCACGAGCTCAGGGGGAGGGGAGTTCAGGAAGAGCAGTTGCTCCTCAAGGGAACGATCCTCAGTGCACAAGCTAATTGTGTTTCATCTCGGAGGAAAGGCAGCAAGAGGGCACAGCAGCTCCCCTAGCTCTCCAGGAATCTAGCAGACCTCCTGAAGCTAAAAAGAAAGGCCTACAAAGGATGGAGGATGGGATTCACCTCCAAGGAGGAATATTCTGCACTAGTCCAGTCCTGCAGGGAGCAAACGAGGAAAGCCAAGGCTGCAACTGAACTCCAACTAGCTTTGAGCATCAAGGACAATAAAAAGTCCTTTTTCAGATGTGGGGAGCCCGAGGAAAAGCAAGGGCAACATTGGACCCCTGCTGAACCAGACTGGCTAACTGACAACTAACACCCAGGAAAAAGCCAACCTATTAAATGGGTACTTTGCATCGGTCTTTCATCAGTCCCATGAGACGCCCATGCCCGCTACGGGACAGGGAGGTCCGGGTGAGGGAGATCCCCTGCCCTCCATTAATGCTGACCTTGTGAAGGAACACCTTGAGAAGCTGGATACCTTCAAGTCAGCCAGCCCTGACAACCTACACCCCAAGGTACTCAAGGAGCTGGCGAGCATCATAGCCCAGCCTCTGGCACGGATCTTTGAAAACTCCTGGTGCTCTGGTATAGTGCCTGAAGACTGGAAGAAGGCCAATGTGGTACCTATCTTCAAGAAAGGGAGGAAAGTGGATCCGACTAACTATAGGCCCATCAGCTTGACTTCTATCCTGGGGAAGAAGATCTTAGAAAAGTTTAAAGAGGCCATCCTTAATGGACTGGCCGACTCATGCTGGCTAAGGGATATTGCGGGTAGGTCTTGCTTGATCAATCTCATTTCCTTCTACAACCAGGTGACCTATCACCTGGACAAGGGAGAAGAGATTGATGTCCTATATCTTCACTTCAAAAAAGTCTTCAATCTGGTAACCCATGATCACCTTTTGGCAAAACTGGCCCATTGTGGCCTTGGGTCCACCACGATCCGCTGGCTGGGAAATTGGCTCCATGGTCGGACCCAGAGGGTGGTAATTGATGCAAGTCAATCATCATGGTGCCCTTTGACCAGTGGGGTCCCCCAAGGCTCTGTCCTTGGACCCATATTGTTCAACATCTTCGTTAATGATGTGAACATTGGAGTCAGGAGCGGACTGGCCAAGCTCACCGATAACACCAAACTTTGGGGCAAAGCATCCACACCAGAAGACAGGCGGGTGGTCCAGGCTGACCTGGACAGGCTCAGCAAATGCGTGGACAAGAACCTGATGGTGTTTAACACCAAAAAATGCAAGGTTCTCCACCTTGGGAAGAAAGACCTGCAGCATCCTTATAGGCTCCGCAGTGCTATGCTGGCTAGCACTATGGAAGAAAGAGACTTGGGGGTCATCATTGACTACAAGATGAACGTGAGCCTGCAATGCAATGCGGCGGCTAGTAAAGCGATGAAAACGCTGGCTTGCATCCATAGATGCTTCTCAAGGAAATCCCGGAACGTCATTCTCCCCTTGTACTCGGCCTTGGTGAGGCCGCAGCTGGAGTACTGCATCCAGTTTCGGGCTCCACAATTCAAAACGGATGTGGAGAAGCTTGAAAGAGTCCAGAGATGAGCCACGCGCATGATCAGAGGTCAGGAAAACAGACCTTATGATGACAGGCTGAGAGCCATGGGGCTCTTTAGCCTGGAAAAGCACAGGCTCAGGGGTGAGCTGATGGCCACCTATAAGTTTATCAGGGGTGACCACCAGTATCTGGAGGGATGTTTGTTCACCAGAGCACCCCAAGGGATGATGAGGTCTAACGGTCATAAACTACTACAAGACCGTTTCAGGCTGGACATGAGGAAGAATTTCTTTACTGTCCATTCTGCCGATGTGGTCCCCATCTTTAAAAAAGGGAGGAGGGAGGACCCGGGCAACTATAGGCCCGTCAGTCTTACCTCAATCCTAGGAAAACTCTTTGAGAAGATCATCAAGGAGCACATCTGAGATGGGCCGGCTTCAGGGATGATGCTCAAGGGCAACCTGCGTGGTTTCATTAGGGGCAGGTCATGTCAGACCAACCTGATTGCCTTTTATGATCAGGTCACAAAAGCACTGGATGCAGGTGTCGCCATGGATGTAGTCTTTCTGGACTTCAGCCTGGCCTTTGACACTGTCTCCCACCCCATCCTCATTAAAAAACTAGGCGACTGTGGCATTGATGCCTACACAGTCAGATGGATTGCAGATTGGCTCAAGGGTCGTACTCAGAGGGTGGTGGTGGACGGGTCATATTCGACGTGGGGGGAAGTGGGCAGCAGAGTCCCCCAAGGCTCGGTCCTTGGGCCCACGCTGTTCAATTTCTTTATCAGCGATTTGGACGACAAGGTGAAAAGCAACCTGTTTAAATTTGCTGATGATACCAAAATTTGGGTACGCTAGTAGGGAGGGAAAGACTGCAGCAAAACCTGGATAGGTTACAGGGGTGGGCTAACAAGAACAGGATGCGTTTCAATACTGACAAGTGCAGATGTCCAATGCTCCTAAATTGAATTCTCTCAGGCTTCAGAGCATCTGCTAGTAGCCTGTTAGGGGCCCAAATAATTCTTTCCCCTCCCCAAGGATATTATTTGCCTTTGGGGGGTTGTTTTTCACCTTTCTCTAAAGTATTTGGTTGCACTGGTATTCCTAAGAATATCAACAGATCTCTCAGGTGCCTGACTGCAGAACTTCCTTATATGCTCAGTCTAACCAACTGCCAGATGTTAGATAAAGGATGAATATCATATAGACAGCAGCAATATATACTTATCATGTAAGAGAGAGGAGACCATAAATCTAGACATAAAGAAACACAGAGGGGAGAGGGAGAGGAAAGAGCAGAAGTGGCTGATCTTCATTTTTTTTAAATCAATCAATTTCATTTGGTTACTACAAGATATGAAGTAAACAGAATTAACACCTTCAGAACAAGTAGATGTTAATGTTTCTTATTCTGAATATTCTTGTGCATGTGCACTGCACTTCAACTAAAGCATACAAACAGATGCACTACAGTCTTGGGCAAGCAATTACATAAAAGTTATGAATGGAAAAGAAAAAATATAAACCTAAATTGCACTACAACCACGCTACTCAATTGTGCTTTTTACATAGTTTCATAATCCATTTTCTGCTTCTACATGCACCAGAATTCTGAAATGCAGTATCTTGCAAATATGAACAATTCATTAAAGCCATAAATAAACATCACTTTTAGATCATTATAAAGTAGATGACTCAAAGTTGTTGCTTACAACATTAGTATGTGGAGGGGCAGAGGAATTAGAAGCATCTCAGAGGGCAGTGAAGAATGACTTTGCTCAATTTAAAAATACAGTGAATCTTTAGCCACCAGCACATTCAAAACAAAATCAGATTTTTCAAAGCTTGCTGGCTTTCTACTGGTTCTTCAAGGCAAAGCTCAGAATGCACTGACTGATTGCTAACTTCTTGTATACCTTGAAGATGGAATCGAAATGTTGAAAACAGAATTCAAATCATGATACTAAACTAGAAGTATCAATTCAAGACAAGTTCTTGTCATTTTTGAAAAAGTGAGTCCAGGACAATTTTCTAATTTCAAGCCAGACTAGAAATATAAGAGTGTAAAGAGCTGGAAAAAAGATTCTGTTTCTTGCTCTTCCCTCCTAGTAAGCAGAGAAGAGTAAAGCCTTTGAAAAGCTGGGGAAAAAACTGGAGTATAAATTAAGTCTCCAAGACAAATTTTAAGCATCTTCACAACAGCTCCCTGTAAAAGAACCCAGGAATAACAAGCAGAAAAAAAGGGAGCGAGGAAAAAGTATGAAACAGACCAGTACCAGTGCTTTTCAGCAAACATTTAAACTTGGCTCAACAGTTAACACTTAGCTATACCCACAGTTCTTGGATCCAGTTTCCCAATATAGGCAGACATGCACACTGCCCTGTAATACACATGCAGTTACAGTTACATATATACACACACATACATTTTCTCTATCTTTATACCTATATCTATTGATTTGTGTGCATGTGTCTCTATATAGGTATCTCTACACAGATATATTTGCCTACAGAACTTGACAGGGACAAAAAAGAGCACGAAACCAGTCATGCTTATCCCTCGCCTGCAAAGCATCATGATGAACGGCTCCCCTTCCTCACCAGCAGCTTGAATCTATGGGGCATCAAACTCACCTGACCCATGCAGAGCTCAATGAATAGAAGAGCCACTTCATGAGCTGGTTACAGAGTGTGGAGTCATGGCATCTGGTAGATGATATGGCTCACATACACCTGTCTATATATAAGAGTGTGAGAGCACGCACACAAGCTTTTGTGAACTCAAGTTCACTACATCAAACGCATCTCATCAAATGAACTCGAGTGGAGAAGCAGGTTCAGGGGATGCACCCAATGAAGTGAATTTTAACCTCACCAAAGCCTGTACTCTCTCTCTCTCTGGCTTTGTACAGACATTCAGTTTCTCCTGGGAGAGTAACTGCTCTCTCAGGAGAAACCACAAGTATACAGATGTTCAGACTTTTTCTCCCAGAGTCAAAAAGGAAGAAAAATAACCCGGGCACAACCAGAGTTAAATCTCTCCTGGGGGAACTTCTCCTGGTACAGCAAACATCTGCCCACGCTGTGACTTCTGTCAAAGGAGAACAGTCTCCTCAGCCTTTCCCCTTCTCCCTGCCCCCAGGAGAGTGTTACTTGCTGGACTCTGCTGCTCCAGAGGACTCCCCTTTGCCACCCCCTCACTGCACTGCAGGGAAACCCATGCTGACCTCAGGCAGTCTGGGTCAGCCAATCAGGGCTGCCCCTATGCACTGCCACCATCTGTCACCAGCAAGACTAACGGAGCCTCCAGAACACGCCAAGAGGTGCACACCAGGCCCTCCCCTGGCTGCACAGTCAGCTCCCCACTCTGTAGGGCCTCGCCACCCGCATGCCTGCACAGCGGCTCTGGGTACGTTTCCCTACCCAGACAGCAACTCTGTGTGTGCTTCCCTCTCCGCCGCGTGCAAGGTTAGCTCACCATGGCCTCGGTCTCACTGAGTTACCCCACGAAGGTGCCTCTTTATTCCGCCTTCTTCCCTAACACGCCTACCAACCTCTCTTCTCTTTTTTTTTTGAAAAGGGGGTTTGGGGGAGAGGAAGGCACAAGCAAACAGACAGCCCTTAGTGACCGAGTCCCGCAGGGCGGCTGGAAGACAGACAGACAAATGGGTCCTGGGCTGAACTCGCCGCTGGCATTCAAAAGTGCGACTTCCTTGTATGACTTAAGCGCTTTGTATTACTGTGATTATTACCCTGCATTATTTCCCCCCCCGCACACGTGCACGTGCCGCCCGCCGGGCTGACCCGACGCGGGGACCCCAGTCCCGGCGCCGGCGGCTCCTACCGTCGGGCAGCTCCACGGTGCGGGCGCGGCGCAGGGACCTGGTGAGCCGGTTCAGCTGCTCCATGGCTCTCTCCATCCTCGGGGCGCTCGCCCCGCGCCCCCCGCGCCGCGGCCCTTCAGCCCATGGCGGCGGCGGCGGCTACGGCGGCGGAGCAGACCCCGCACCCGGCCTCACCCTCCTGCCCCGCCCGCACCCATGCTGGAGGACACGCGGCGCGCATGCGCCCCCGGCGCGCATGCTCACCAAAGGAACATAGCGCCGCCGCCAGCCCGCTTTGCCCTCAGTGTTGGGGGCGGGGCCTGATGAGGCTGGGTGTTGGGTCCGCTCGCCCTGGGGCTGTGCTGGGTGCAGAGGGTGGGGGTGGCTGATGGGTAGGTAGCCCTCTGGGGCTGAAGCCAGGCAGGAGGCAAGGTAGATGCACCTTCTAGACCAAGCAGTCAGCAGGCTGGAGGCACTTTCATTCCATAAGATTCTAGTGATAAGATTAAAATAATTTTTGGTTCAGCTCTCTACACTTTTACATTGCTAGTCTGGCTGTGAAGTAGAAAATGGTCCTGGACTCAAATATAATACGACCTTGTCTTGAATTGATACTTCTAGTTCAGTATCATGATTTAAATTCTGTTAAAAGATATCCCCTTAAGCCCATTATTAAAAGATAGCACCATATTATTAGGCAAACTAGACAGCTGCAACAAAACAAATTCTTTATTTGCAAGGTTTCGGGCACACGTGGCCTTCCTGGGGCATAGGAGAAGGCAAAGGACTTTCCCAGCCAGGAAAACTCATACTGCCCTCCAGCACTCATGTGCAATACGCATTTTCACTTCTGTCTGGGAGAAATTTTACAATTTACAATTTTTACAGTTTCTCCAATGCCTGAGGAAGGGCACGTGTGCCTGGAAGCTTGCAAATAAAAGATTTTTTTATTCTTTCCAATTGTCTAGTTGGTCTAATAAAAGATCTCACCTCTATCACACTGACTGCTTGTACTTTTAGACCAACACAGCTATAACTTTTGCCCCGTCTAGGATAACTAATTCAAAGAGGCCTCAGCTTTCCTGAGCAGAAGGGCCCCAAATTGGGCAGTCGGGTGACAGGACAGGAAGCACAAGGTGGACAGGACAGGGCAGCCAGCAAAGGGCCACAGGACAGGGGCCCTCCAGGTGCAGCAGGAGGAAGGAAGGATGTGGAGCCTCCCAATCTGATGTGTCCAGGCTTGACCTTTGGGGAGGGAACCACAAAAACAATAAACCAGTTTGACTCCTGAGGTTATTTCTTTTAATGAAACCCCAAATCTATATTCTTCCCTCCAACACACTTCTTTTTCCTGGCCTCATCCTTCTCCATCCTCCCTCGCACCCCGCAATTTCTTCCCTGTTTTCCATGGGAAAATATAATGGGAGGGAAGCCAAGGAAACAAAAAAAAAGTAGAGGGAACATGACAGTAGATCACTAAAAGATTCATATAATAATAAACCTTCCCTCAGGCCTCACAGCTTGAGTGCCGAAATCTCCAAACCAGAAAGATTCTGTGTTGAAATCTGTGGGATAAAACTACTTCAAACGTTGAATCTATTTGCAAAATCTCCTGCCCGTTTTTTAAAGCAGATCTGGATAGCAGGCATCAGCATGCCGACCCAAGGATTTGAGTAGTGGCTGAATGGCAGCTCAGAGTTTGAGTTTTGTGCTAAGGAAATATGGGGATCTATCAGCTTGTAAAGTTTTAAAATAGGTGTTTCTTTCAGCCTGCAGCATTCCAGGAGGGGCCAGGCATCCAAGGGGTGGGGTTAGTGTAGGCAGGACCCAACACCAAAATCCAGAGTATGGAGCCAAGGCTAGGGGTGGGAGGGCTGTGATTGCTGCATTAAGTCCTGTAGTTCTCTGGCACCTGCTGTTGCCCATCTTGCAGGCACTGCTGCATCTGGATCCAGCATGCAAAGAGCCCCACAATCTGGTTCTGGCCCAGGGGGCCAGATGGGTAAAAACTCCTGGTTTTAACACATGCAGGTCTGCAGCCTTGGGCCTGTAGTTCTGGCCTAAACCTGAAGTTATCCCCCAAGTGTTGAGAGAGGTAAATCTTCACAAACAGGTGAAAAGCTTTAATGCCAAAAATTAAGGAGCTTAAAGAGAAAAAAGTAAATGATGATCATCTAAAAATGGCTTGATAATCGTCCTGTCCTGATTTGACAGTCATCCAAAAGGTCACCCTGCCCTACATTTTGCCTGACTTGACAAGTAGTTGTATTGTAGAAAGGAAAGGGATGCCTTAGCAGGTGTTCTGGTTATTAAACTAGCAGGGTCTACCAATAGTAAACATGAAAGCCAAACAGATGAAGCTATCTCTACTTTGAAAACTATAAATATGTGTGACTTATTTATGACAATATCTGCTAAAGATTTCAAGGAACAGTAAAGCAGTCAGTGGATGCAAACCAAAAAAAGAATCTAAAGATCTCAGGAAGATGTGTTTAAGAATTATAAAAGTAATGAGAGAATACACATGTTGTCATATGGTAGTAAAGCACATATGATGTCATTTTTCAAAAGAATAAGTTGTAATGGCAATGGAAAAAAATCTCTTCTGTTTGTCAATAAATCAAAAATTCACAGCATTGTAAAAAAGTATATAATACATTTGTAGTCAATTAGTTGTACATAAGCTATTTTGAAAATGTTAAGCTTAATAATGGATGTAGCCAGATAATCATGGATATAAATGTAATAGCTGCAAACAAGGCATAATCATAGTTGACTCAGGAAAATTAGTTATCACACAGACAGAATATCAGCTCCTTAGCTAGATGTATATAGCTAATTAGAATGTTTACAGTGAATATTTTAATAAGTTAGGAGTAATCAACTGTCCCTCCAGAACTGTTTGTGAGGCCAGTTTTAAAATCTGCTTAAATTAAGTTTACATTTTTGATCAGCCTGAATAAAAGGAAAGATTACGGTATCCGGTGTCAATCAGATCCTGTCTCAAATGAATACCTGTTACTGATATGGTGGCCAGACTCCAGTCTACTCTTAGAAATTATCAGATAGCTTCCAGTTCTAGTATCAAATTTATTTTTTCACAGTGTTTTTAAAAGGTAATTGAGATGTTGATTGTGCAGGCAGGACTTTACACTTAATACCCCATTGATGATGAATAAGGGAAGTTTGCACTTCCTAGAGCTCAGTCTTGGTTTACAGATAACAGATAAAAAATAGAGTAGTTGTTTAAATTCTGAAGACTGCCTTCCACAAGAGAAAAACAGTAGAAATCAGATGAAGGATCAGAGTTGCTGAAAAGGAAAGCAAACTTGCCAACATACCTAAAAATACAATAATACTTCCTAATCCTCAAAAAGCTTCTATCTACCTTGGAGACAGCCTCTCTTCCCACCGGACAGTCATTGACATATGTCATCTGAAAGTCCCTTAATTATAATGATTGTGGTGTGCACAGTGGAAGATTTTCAGCGCTAAAATTCACTATCCTAATTGGAATGACTGCCTGAATCTTGATATTCAAGGCATGATGCATATGCCATCCGTTTCCTCAAGCATTTGCCTGATAGGCAATAGGAGTGTTTAATTCAGTTTTATTTATCATTTAATAGATGAGGGCATGTTCCCTCAAACATGAAAAGTGGGTATTTTTGTACACTAAAATGTTCAGTTAAGGGTGTCCTCTTTCAGTCTTTAATCTGGCAAGCACAAATACATGCTTACTTGTTTCTCTTGAGAAACTTAGGGAAATATTACCTTGTAAGCAATGTGTGGTTTCTATATTCTCTTGTCCAGTTATTTATTTTCCTATTCATTTGATTTATATGTCACCATTCCCAACAAAGGCTTAGTACAGTAAGAGGATAAAATAACTTTCAAGAGGAGGACAGAATAACTCATAAAACAGAAGTATGACAAGAAAACAAAACAACATGGAAACTAGAATATCCACATGGAGCTGAGCCCCCCAAACAATATTTTAGCTTAGTTTTGTTTGCTTAATGCTTGCCCAAAGAAGAAGGTCTAACATCGCTTCCAAAAGTTATCCAGGCTTGGGCTCTGGCAGGCCTCAAGAGGACCTCTAGAGCTGAAGAGCTATAGTACAGCTATATATTCGCTATATATTCTGTACATTGAGTAACATAGACCTATTTATACATTGTGCCAAATTCATCCCTGATATTAACAGTCATGATTTCAGCAGAGCTGTTGTAGAGTACTAGCCTGTCATTTGGGACAGAATGATTCAGTTACATGTTGCACCCGAGACGTCCTGGCTGTCCTTGGGCAAGTCCCCTCTATACCTCAGTTCTTCACCTCTATCTGGGAGGACTGTCAGGCTAGATACACTGAGGATGCTCAAAAACTGTGTAAATAAGGATAATTTATTCCACCTGAGGGGCAAGTAGCTCTATGATTTTTAGGACTCCTTTGAAAACAACCAAAAAATCAGCAATTAAAAATAATAGTGCTTTGTTGTTATACATTCAACTGATATTATTAGTTGTATTTCATTTATTTGAGCAATCATCATACAGAATCCTTACAAATATTTGACCAACTGCATAATATAAATATATTAAAATCAATATAGAATATATTGCAATAACAGACAAAGGCTCAGGTGTTTTATCCACTCTAAGTACTTTAATATTTTAGATTTCTTGGGCTGAATTTGAAGTTTAAATTTACACTTTATTCTAGAGTTATCCAAATGACAGGAATTCAAAACAAGAATTAGATATTTTGAAGCTCTTAAGTGAAATGAGTATCTCTTGAAAGCCTGAATATTTTAAACAAGAAAAGAGAAGGAACTTTAATTGCACCAAGTCTTACTGTTTATTTTTTACTTGAATTCAATTAATGAATGTCACAATGCTGAAAGGATTGTCTAACTCAGTGAAAAGTGGCAAGATTTATCAAGTGGCATTGTTAGATATCTGTCAAGCCAAAGCATCCAGAGAATTATTTTTTACTAGAGAACTTTGTTATTTTCAATACCGCAGCAACTCTCAAGCATTATAACAAAATGTAGCCACACAAAAGTGGTTGCAGTGGAACACAGGCATTCATAGCACTGTTACAGCAGCACTTGCTCTGAGTGTCATCTATGCCTCACTGCTTGCGTAGATATGAAGTACTGGAACTGGCATAG